GATGTCTGAAAGCTGAGTCCCAACCACCAAGAGGGATCCGTAAGGGTGCTAACAAGCACTAGGCATAGTTAATGAGGTGTCAGCAAGCACTAGGCATAACTAACAGGGTTCCTGAAAAGCACTAGGTGTAGTTGGGAAGCAATTGATTGGCAAGTGCTTGGCATAACCAATCAAGGTTGCTTAGTTCACACAATTAAGTGGACTCCAAAGATGAGTAAAATTAGCTTGAGATCCTAATACAAGGACAAGTACAGTATTTATATACCAATAGTAGGGGACTGAGTCATTATTATTCTAGTATTAGCAAGAAGAAGAGAGAAAGTAAGAGAAATTACGAGTAAGCCGAGGTCAAGGTTTATCACCGGTTTCACTGGGTTCCCATGTCATGTTACCTGTCAGTTATCTGCCATGCCCATACTGGGCAGGTGGGCCCCACGCATTCAACAATTCATTTTGAGGTCGTTTCTTCATTGACCCTCATAAGTCTTGTATATATAAATTGAATATATTCATATAAACCATGCAGTAAAAATTTGTGGCTCAAAACGCGATGAGGATAATGCTATTCACTCAAGACGCAATTCCCTGCCAAAGTTATCTGCCATCAGCCCCTATAGTTATCTGCCATCATCTCAAGTTTCACCCACACAACTGTTCTTTCTCTACTCCTGTCACGTATTCTGTCCCTAGTCATGTCACTTAGTTGCTACTATCATAGTGACGCGTTTGTGTCAGTCTGGTATGTTCTTTTTGTGATATAATGTGGGTACACATGCTGAAAGAACTTCTTTTCATAAATAGCTCACATTTTTCATTTTTCAAGCTCTGTCTCCTGCAGCATGGCATGTCCAAGCAGTGTGAAGGATGAACCAAGACCAGACAATGCTCCAAGGAGAGGATGGCCACCAAAGCCACAAGATATTCCATCCCAGGAGGAAAATGATCAGTATGTCTCATTCCGGAGTTCAGATATTCTACTCACTGTATGTGACATCTGTAGACTCGGATGCCAATGATGAATATGAATTTGATGATGAGGAGTACTCGGAGGAGTTTTTGAGGAGGCTGGATAAGGCTGAAAGCAATGCCATAGCCAGTAAGTTGATTCTCCTTTCAATTTCGGAGTTTTTCCTGATTTTCTGGCTGCCTCTTAATGCAGAGCTCAAGCGATTGAAAGCAGAAGCAGACACCTGCAAGAAATGTCTTGTAGACCTGCAGGAGGCTGAGAATCATCCACTTAGCTGTATGAACCATTCTTTTTCATTGCAACATGGGATACTCATATTTTTCTACAGAACCATTCTTTAATCCACTTGCAGGACCCCTCTCTGATGGGGCGAGTGATGAGGATGAGCACTTGGACTCCCAAAATGAAGCTGAGACACCACGCGTCAGTCGCAATACTGGGGATGAGCCAGCGGCGCAAAGACATAATGCAAATGACAAACCTGGAGGTATGTCACACCTTTGAAGTTTCCTTGTAAAAAAATTGAGATGTTTTTCACTAGTGTGGTTCGATAAGCCAAAATATATGCAAGACTGGCTGTACCAGTACTTTGCTACAGTTATACACCTGCTTATCCACAATAAAAATGACAGCAAGATCCTGCTTGCACCGCCAACATTCACAGAGTCTAAACCTTATGCCCTGCCAATGCTCTGGATCCGTTCTCTGGAACCTGTCATGTCTCTCTCTGTGCATCAGTTTGAGCCCACCCTTCTCTTCCACCTACGTGTCTTGCTTTGGCTTGTACATTTCTTTGTCGATGTATTATCTTGTCCCCAATGCAGAAAACCACTTGAAAAGAATGGTGCACTGCCACCTCATCGTGTCGTAGACCTCAAAGATTCATTCTACATCATCACATGGGCATATTATTGCCGGCAGGACTGCCGCTCACATTTTCATGGGTGGAGCCAGCATCCTCTAAACTCATTACCCCCATATGTGTGTATGGCTTTTCCTGCTGTGCTCTCCCACAAAATATGCCTGTCATGCAACATTGTCAGGACTCTCTGTGTTGGCAATCGGCATAAGATGGGACCATCCATGTTCACTCACTACTGTTCAAAATGCACACCCATCGATTCAATGTAATACAGCTCCAATATTTAGAGTCAATCTTCGAGTGGCTTCAGACTCGAGAATCAGCCAATGCTGATTTGCACAATTACTTTGATGCCTCTATGAAAGTCCCTTCGATCAGAAATTTCAGTGATGTAGATGGCTACGGTAGCTTCATTCCCGGTGAACGCTATCTTACCGCCATGCTGAATAAAGTCATTGAAGGGGATGAAGCTGATGCCAACCAGCATACATCTTTACTTGAACCAGACCAGCTGGCTATTGACGACTCACACAAGGTCTGCCAAGGCATATAAACTCAACATGAGTAACAACTGGCTGCGACAGCGACAGGGCTTAGCTCTGCCTATTCTTCCTCCAACCACTCAAGAAGCTTGCCGCTACTTCTTTGCTCAGATACGCATTTTCTCTGTGAATGCAAGTGCTGATGGCAAAGGCAGAGTTGATTACGAAGCATTTGCTCAGGAATGGAACTGGATGGCAGATGGAACTGAGCGTGTTTATGTCTCTCCAAAGGTCCTGGCTGCATATTCAAAATCATGGGAAAAAGCAAACAATATCCGAGCAATGGTGGACTTGATGTCTGATGGGCTTGAAGAAGTACATCGCAGTGGTGAAGTATTTGCAGCTGCAGATCTTCCATTCCCAGATTATTTGGCTGGAGATGCGTCGTTCACTCATCCAAGTCAAGGTGTGGTTGAAATAGATTCAGAACAGTCACTCCCTCTGAATTTGTCAATTTCGACGGCTTCTGCTGCTTCACATTCTTCCTGATTTACTGATACACTGATATCCACCCATCCCACAAGCAGTGGCGCACCTCGATCCACTCCGTCCCCTGCACCTATCCCTGCTACATTTGATGAGCTTCCTACAAGTCCTCATCCAATTCCTGCATCCCGTACTGAACCGGCCCAAAATCAGCCACTAGGCGAGCCTCAATCGGATTCCCTGTCCATAGTTGTTAGTAACGGCAGTTCCAGCAGCCATCAGCACATGGACATGGAAAGAGAGAGCAAGAGAAGACGTACCGTACCCACAGAGGAGAGGAAACACCATAATATCCATAGCTGTCGACGCTGCCACAATGAGACTTGCCCTGGAGGTAATGACATTTTGCAGTGTCAGATTGCATGCACTGTACCTTGCCGATGGTGCAGGAGACTGGATGAATGTCAGGGCGTCGATGGAGGGAAAAAATGCACAGCCCCCCAGGCTTGAATTAGTGTATGTCGAGGCAGAGAGTGAGGCAAATGAATGGCGATCAGTGTTGTCTTTTAAATATATCCCTGTAGCGGTGGTTCCATGCCGGTCCCCGATTCTTTCCTTTGCTTCCGTTTTGCTCCGCCACCATTCTTATTTATTTCCAGACCTTCAGAGACGTGTTACACTTGGATTTGAGATCGCGAGGCACCCTGGGTTCTTAAGGGTGGTCGCTGTTTGATGTAAGATCTCAATTAGTATCAGTGCTTGCACTTAAAACAAGACGAGCATCGAGTACAGTGTCCTCAATCACAAAATAGCCATTGATATATAATGCGCGTGTGTGTACCCAGCCTGCATACAGCGCAAACGATCGCTTCAACCACTTACACACCACTTTCGAGGAAGAAAACACATTATCATGCAGTTCTGGGTAGTACAATGCATTATAGTAAACCGGAACATCAGAAACACTGTGTTCAACATCACAAGGAGGATGGTCTTCCTCTGCGAGAACACGGGTAACACGACACGGACGTTTATACAAAAACATGTCGCCAACCAAGCAGTGTACACGAGATATAAAAGGACAAGCGCAGAAACATTAGGAGCATCGAGCAGAAACACTGAGAGCGCCGAGCGCAACAAATAGAGTAGAATAGCTTCAAATAGATGCCGCCCTTAAATCCCCAACAAACAGATCAAGCGTGCCTATAGTTGCCAGTCAGTGTCGAACACAGATCTGTTGAAATAATTCTAGCGGGTATGAGGGATCAGGATACGAATACGGGATTGACGCAGTACATGAGCAGTGAGTACGTAGTCAATCGAGTAAAGAGAGAAGCGTAGCTACGAAAATTTACTGGTACGTACATGTGACTGATTACCAATAAACACGCGAGCCACAAGCTTGATATCGAACAAGATCCAATTGGAAAGCCTTACCTTCAACTGTACACGCCATGTAATATCGGACGACATAGATGTGTTATACAATGTTCCGGACTGAATGAAAAAGATCAACAGGAGACAGCAAGCAAAAAACATGGTCTGTTAGACGCCTACAACAGATTATCTGGGGGATGAAACTACTCTGAGCATAGCACATTTATTTAAAAACAAGGAGTGACGTACATGCGAACCACAAGGCGGCGGAGACATTGTAAACGGGCGAACCAAAATGACTGAGCGGACGAAACCAATTTTACAAACATGACTCAAACTCGGCACGACGATCTCATCCTATTGGCCAGAGTTCTCGGAAAAGGTATTTGTTCGACAACATCTTGCATGCATCAGCAAACTTTGACCAAATAGCCCCTGCCCACACCCTACAGTGGGCAAAACGTCGTTTTCAATTTGACAAAGCCCTCTCTTCTCCTCATTACATTCGGAAAGAATCGGGGAACATGAACAAACAAACATCGGTGGTCGCCCATTTTGGTACGCGAAATCTTTCTTTTTTTATTCTTTTTCTTCTTTTGGGACCTCCGACACCCAGTGAAATGGATGGAAAACCGAGGTCAAGACCGAGAAGGCCGAGAGTAGACATGTGTTGACTCATGTATGGACCGGAAAAGACATGAGATCCATAACAGGAGCATTGAGCCCGAGAAACTTTGTCACAGTTGCTGACTACTGGCGGAACACCGGCAACGTTGCCGAAGTCCTGCTGAATAATACCAAAGAATGCTGCGTTAAAAGAGACCATGCAGACTCGATTGATCAGTATTCCCCAACCATGGCAGATCTTTTGAATGTAGCTACGGCGATGTCGCTTTCTGGACGAGTAGGCCTCGTTACAGGCGGAGGAACGGGAATGTAAGTATTGGTATTCTCGATTATGACTCGTGGTTGATTCTTCAGCAGAGGATTTATGATTGCTAAAGCCTTCGCTGCGAATGGTGCGAAAGTATACATCACAGGGCGAAGGCTGGATGTACTGGAGAAAGCTGCAGCGTCAATCACAGGCATCCCGGGATCCATTGTTCCGTCAGTGATCCCTCTTTCTCTGGAACATTCATGGCTAACACGTACACAGACTCCAGATGAATGTGACAGATGAAGAAAGCGCCAAGGCTGGCGCAAAGCTCATTGAGGGAATCGATGGCAAGCTCGATATCCTCGTTAACAAGTTCGCCAATAGTATCATTGACAACTGTCTTTCACACGCTAATCCTTTTGCAGTGCTGGGTTCGGCACCTCCCTTCGCGATCCAGATTTCTCTGCGAAGAAACTCGCTGCATCGGACCCTTTCGATCCCGAGACGGTACAGAATTGGATGGACATCTTCGCACTCAACACCATCGCGCCGTTCTTCGTTGTTCGTGCCTTCCAGTCCCTCCTTATCAAAGGAGCACATTCTCGCCCTCAAGGAACGTCAAGCGTCATCAACATTAGCAGCGTGGGGGCAATCATAAATACACCAATAAAGATGGGTTGCGTACGTGCTCTACTATTCCATTCAAGCTTGACTCGGTTCTAACTTGGCTTATTAGCTAGCATACGGTCCGACAAAAGCAGCTTTGGAAAAGCTTACTCTTGTTCTTGGGACGAGCTTTGCTGGGAGAGGCATCCCAATCCGGGTGAATGCGCTTAAGCCCGGCTTGTTCCCGTCGGAGATAGCTACTCCTGAGATGTTGGAAATGATGAGTGCAGAGCCATTGCCTGGGTTTGGGGCTCCCATACCCGCGAGGCGACCAGGAACGTGGGTATGTTTAATACATGGAGGGGATTGGATACTGATTTGACTTTGCTAGCGAGGCGGAGATGGGAATGACGGCGATCTATTTATCGGTATCTGATTATACGAACGGGGCGATTTTGAGTGTTGATGGTGGGGTAGCGTTGGTTAATCCTTGAAGGGTTGATCTTTTAATGAAATTAAGTGACTGCCTTCTCCGGGGGAAGCGTGCCGCTGTCGTTGTGAGATCATATTGTACATACTCTCCCATGAACGCTGGGATCGGATGTCGATTACTCTTCTTTTCTCCGAATGAAAGGTGATTTCCTTTGTTCTGACCGCGGGAGAAAGCCTTTTTCGTTCCGTTTTTCCTGTTCTTTTTCTTCACTTAAGAGTACGGAAATTATCTCATCTTTCAACTCATTTTTACCATTAGAAGTTCAAATGAAATGCCACGACATTTGAGGTCTTGTTTTTCCGCAGAGAAAATGTACCGGCTCCAGCAGTGCCTGTGACATTCCAATGCGTGCTAATGGTCAAGTTCTTGGGATCCAGGAAGGGAATACAACTGCAGAGACTAATCCGTCTGGGTGCTTGCAAAGAAAACTGCCGTTGATGTATGCATGACGCTGTATCATTTTCCTCAAGGTAAGGAATCAAGATATCGGTCTTGACCCTTCTGACTAATCTTCACACTTCTTACAGGGGATTGCAGCCACCGGGTCGACACGGTGTTGTGCTGGAAGATATTTTGATTAGACTGAGCGATGTGCCATCGCTGGCGCCTCCCGACTTCTTTATTGAACAGAGTCGAAAAAAAATATGAGCAGGTTATTGGTCTCTAGCGGGAACGTACCAAAATTCTGACAACGAAGATTTGAAGACCGAGAAGGTAGAAACCTTTGCGTATCTTGAGGTTTGCTGGTCTCAAAACGAAACGGCACACCTCGAATAATGACTGTATTTCAGACTCGAGCAAAACCACAACTAAAAACGTCACCTGTCCTCTGCTAAGACGAGGGTAGAATATGGGTAGCGCAACCAGACCATCAGGAATTCACCAATGTAACTCCACCGTCAACCCTCAAGGTTGCTCCATTCGTGTAATCCGACGCCGCCAAGTACACCGCCGCCATCCCCATTTCGGCATCGCTAGCAAGTCAGATTAACATCATCTCTAAGTATGTACTCCAATAATGAAGGCACTTACGTTCCATGTCTTCCTGCTGGTACAGGAGCCACCAATCCAGGTGGCGGCTTAGTCTTAAACAACTCCAACATATCAGCAGGTGCCATTTCCGACGCAAACACCTCAGGTTCTATCGCATTCACCCGAATCGGGATGTTCCGCCCAGCAAAGCTCGTTCCCAGAACGAGGGTGAGCTTGCTCAAAGCGGCTTTCGTGGGGCTGTATGCGAACTAAATAGAATGAGCCAAAATCTTGAAGGGATTTTCGAGGTAGCGAGTACGCACAGATACAAATGACTCCGAAAGGTTCATCTTTGCTGCTCCGCTGCTGATGTTGATGACACTTGAGGTGCCTTGAGGGTGGGAATGCGCTCCTTTGACGAGAAGGGATTGGAAAGCACGCACGACGAAGAATGGGGCGATCGTGTTTAGCGCAAAGATATCAGCCCAGTTCTGTACGGTTTCGGGTTCAAAAGGATCTTCTGCGGCGAGTTTCTTCGTCATGAAGTCTAGATCGCGAAGGGATGTGGCAAATCCGGCACTGTGAAGAGTTTAGTCTACGGAGGAGTGGAACTAGGGGTATTATAGGCCGACTTATTGACAAGTATGTCGACCTTGCCATCGATTCCCTCAATGTGTTGTGCGCCAGCCTTAATGTTTTCTTCATTTGTCACATCCATCTGGAGCCTTTGTACGCGTCAAAAACGGAGATCTTATGGAAAAGAGGATTACTGACGGGAGGAAGATCCTGGGACACCGGTTACAGATACGGCTGCTCTCTTCAACACTTCCAACCTTCGCCCTGTGATGTATACTTTCGCACCATTCGCAGCGAAGGCTTTAGCAATCATAAATCCTCTGCTGAAGAATCAACCACGAGTCATAATCGAGAATACCATTGCTTACATCCCTGTTCCTCCGCCTGTAACGAGACCTACTCGTCCAGAAAGCGACATTACCGTGGCCACATTGAGATCTGCCATGTTCGGGGAATACTGAACAATCGAGCCTGTACACGGTCTCTTTTATTGCAGCATTCTTTGGTATTATTCAGCGAGGGTGTATCCCGGCGAGTGCGGTAAATAATGGCTTTGGCATTGCCCGCATTCTGCTCACTAGTGCTGTCAGCAACTCTGACAAAGTTCTCGGGTTCAAGTCTCCTTATCGGCTCTTGAACGCTTAGTATCACATCAGAAGATTCTTCTATAGTCATCATCCATGCTTTGACGCGGCTCACCTAGGAAGTGAGCCAATTAGTAACGGATGCCATTTGGTCCTATGGTCTGGATTCAGACAACGAACTACGGACCAAGTTTTAGTGTGCGTTCAAGGATGTTGGATCACTTACCTTCGAGTGACTTAGCTCGTGCTAAACCGGAGGCTATAGAAAATTATGAGAATACATTAGCAAACCTTAGCGCGTATGATATAAGTAAAGAGATAAGACACCTAGCCCGATGTAATACATCCATTCAGTGACCTTAGTATCACAAGATATACGTGTCAAGTCTAGCTCCCACTTGTATTTGGACTCTTGACTTCCGGGGCACTGCAGTGCCAGGATTAAGCGCATATTGTATGAAGTTTTGAGCTGACATGGTCGTGGCGACTTTGAATTAAGAGTCAGTCACGTTAGAATTCTCGTCCGGATTCATTTACCTTCTGCTTCATTCCCAAGGACCTTTCACAGTAAAAAGTCCTAGAACTTGCAATGAACAGACCATATTTACTCAGATGGACGAGCTGCAGCCCCCACCAATACTAACACATCACTTGACGGTGTAGATTTTCTAGGCGAACTTCCACAGAGATCAATGCTCCTCCGGAGAGCCGCCCATTTCCCTGAACCAAACAGTAACCCAATACCGAGTTTTTGCAGCGCTTGTAAGAAGTCGATTCGTGTCTTGGGTTTTCGTCAGATAAGGCTGCAGGCTGAGATAGTCGACACTCTGTGCTGGAACCATGATCATAGCAGGTTGGAAGCGATAGGACAGCGGACCGGATTTGAAATGCAGCTTCAACCGCTACCGTCATCTTTCTATGCTCTTTTCTTCCTCCTCTAACCTCAAAGCTATATTTTTCTGCGAAGAAGAGAGAATTCGTACGCAACGAGCGAGCCTCTTTTTGACCTTTGGCTTTCCTAGGACCATCACCCTCAACGCTCTCCTACCGAACGATTGTCTTCTAATTTTGCATAAGCATATTGGCTGAGCATTTACGAACAAACCAAGGGAACAGCCCTCTTATATGCAGTGTAACACAGGAGTTTCACTGGCACCGGCAGACCGATAGTACAGAGATAGGCCGGGAATTCTTGGCACCAGAAGATATCCATTCACTGCACCGGACTTGGGAGCAGCCAGCTTACTGAGATATGGGTGAGTCTGTCGACAGTTTGCCTCGAATTCATGTTATTGCGCCCTTGATTAGGGGATGCATCATGGTACCCCTTACCCGTTCGAAGTTTACTTATGAGATTTGGTGACTACGCAGCGACGGAATCAATGTTGTAATTACTCAACTAAACGTGTTTGTTCACAATAGTCTTTTGTTTCAAGGTCTCTCATCCCATATGGCGCCTATCCTTGCACCCCTTCACCGTATTCGTGTGATTTCTTTGCGACGAGCATAACATACGTGAAAGGGAGCCTCTGCCTGACACGACACGTGTGCAAGAGCCAGTAGATATAACGGCCGCCCCGAGGACATGAACTTTCGTCGCAATGCTGACGGGTATCAGGGAAGGCAGGTCATTTTGCAACGTAAATCCACCATTTACCGCATACATCGGGATACCGTCTCGCTGAATAAGACCAGGTATTTATGAAATCTAGGTGACGACCACTGGAATAAAAGGTGTTACGTCCAGAGGCTACTCTGCATTCCTCAAACATGGCAGAGCTTCATGTGGCTACTGTGATGTCTCTTTGTGGACGAGTAGGCCTTGTTACAGGCGGAGGAACTGGAATGTATGTTCTCTCAAGTTTGGTTCTCGGTTGCGACTTACCGTTGACTCTGATAGAGGATTTATGATTGCGAAAGCCTTTGCTGCAAATGGGGCGAAAGTATACATCACTGGGTGTAGGCTGGATGTGCTAAAGCAAGCCGCGGCATCAGTTACAGGTGTCCCAGGATCTATTATTCCGTAAACAGCCTTTTCTCCCTCGTGGTGTTCATTTCTGATGCCCCTACAGGATCCGTATGGATGTTACTGATGAAGAAAGTGTCAAAGCTGGAGCCAGGCACATTGAAGGAATGGACGGCAAACTTGATATCCTTGTTAACAAGTTCGTCCATGGTGCCGTCGATTCGCTTCGTCCTTATGCTAACGTCCTTACTAGTGCAGGATTTGCAGGATCTCTTCGCGACCCAGGCTTCATCGCGAAGAAGCTCGCAGCGGCAGATCCATTTGAACCTGAAACCATCCAAAACTGGGCAGATATATTTGCACTCAATACGATTGCCCCGCTCTTCGTCGTACGCACTTTCCAAGCCCTCCTCGTCAAAGGAGCTCGGTCCCGCCCCCAAGGCACGTCCAGTGTCGTCAACATCAGCAGCGTGACAGCCAAGATGGACTCAATGAGCCCCCTATCGTCTGTATGTGCTATGTCATTCCTTTTCAGCTCTCTACATTAAGCTTGGTTCAGGTCGCATACAACGTAACGAAAGCTTGAATAAGCTCACACTTGTTCTGGCAACGAGTTTTGCTGGGAGGGATATTCCGATCCATGTGAACGTGCTGGCTCCAGGCACGTTTGCGTCACAACTGATCAGTCCTGAGGTCTTGGGAGCGATCAAGACTGAGCCAATGCCTGGGTTAGTCGCGCCGATTCCTGCGAAGAGACAGGGAAAGTAAGTATGATCAATGTTTGGATGGAATTGAATATTGATTTGAGTTTATAGTGAGGCGGAGATGGGGGTGTCGACAGTCTATTTGGCTGTGTCTGACTATACGAACGGAGGGATTTTGAGCATTGATGGTGGATTATCGCTGGTAAATCCTTAATTGTTTGATCATCTGATGTAGAACTATCATGGAATCAAACCTGTTTTCCACCATCACCTGTAGATTTCTTGCAAGGGATCACAGCCACTATAGCTAGTCAACAGAGTGTTGTGCAGGAAGACATACCGGTTGGATGGGCGATACACCGTCTGCATTATCGTTTGCACCTTGTACGAAGACGTTTCTGTAGCATCCATGGAGCATGAATGCATGAACGTTGAACAATTACTATGACGATTCATTTGCTTGACGCACGCCAGACCTTCAATTCGACCCAGGACAAGCTAAGATCATGACATTACAAAAGGTTCGGTTTCATCATGACATGATGTAGGTACAAGACTAGGTGTAAGACTCTTTCAGGAACGGTATAGGGAGAATAATGTAGAAAAACGCTATTCAGACGTCAGACAATGAACATCTGCAATATATTACCGAGACATACCAACGGCGAAGCTACCAGAATAGATACCATAGGAGAAATGGAGACAGGATCACGAGCCAGAAGATTGATGACCAGAGTAGACGAAGAACCATCACGCCAGTCAGCCTAGTTCAACCAAACGTTGGCGAGTCACGGAAATAAGTACAACAAAGAGCATAATCACTGATAAGAGACCAGTTTCTCTTCTAGAAGTAGATGCCTATACGCCTCTGAAACAAAATATAAATATACTGAGCGTGGACGAAGTATCCACTAGGAACGTACCAGAATCTTCACCAAACGCTTTCCGCATTCCTGGTTTGAGGTCCTGGAGTATTTCCGCCAGATCACAGTAAAGATATTGCTTCTCTCGATAGCCTTTGGACCGAGCTATTTCAGCTTCGGCGGCTCACATGATCTGGACGAGTGAGTAGGACGTGAGGCGTTCATCACGTTTGAGCTTGAGGTGTTCGATTTCGTCGCCAACTTGGTCGTGTTCGCTGCGTTGAGGGGGTTCTATTGTCTTGATGTGAGCATCCATTCCTGTGCTGGGGTAGGACATGGCTTTGAGGTAGAAGAAATGAAAAGGCGTGGTAAATAAAGGTCGTGGTGGTGGTCGTAGTTCAAGCAGTGTTTGAAACTCCGACGCTGCCTGCCGTCCTTTGCCGCTCTACCCTGCTCCGTTGTTTGACGAGACCTTACATTATCATCCTTTACAATACCTGATCCTAGCCACTGGTGCTTACTTCGGAAGAACCAGAGCCTCTATCATGACGGTCATCAGCGCGAACATGGTGCCCAGGATTTCCTCTCTGACCTATGGAGAGTACGGGTGCCGACATCTTGAACTTCTAAACCTTGAAGGACAAGGACAAGGATTCTGCTGGCTTATGGCACCTCATCTTCCGTCGTTACTACATCTTTGCCCAACGATTCAAGATTCACTCGTTTGCTCAGACCGAAAACGTATGCATATAAACACTCTTCCTTGAAGCTTTATCGTGTCTTCCCGCGAAGCTCGGAGGAATCAATGGGTGTTAACCGCACTCGTTGTTGACGTACGTCCATTATCATATTCTAAAAGGCTCTACTTATACCGTGTCGTGGCAAAGCTCGCAAATGCATTTTCAGGCACCTTGTACGAATTTGATGGAGCAGGATGCACCTGAACAGTCCACGGATAAGTCAGTATTAATTGAAACGGATATGCTGCAGACAGGAACAATCCTCGGAGGAGCAATGTTGCGAGAATGCTCCATGTCCAGGCAGCGCAGAACGAACGCTTTGATCGGTGAATTGCTCCGCTGGACTAGTTACTGACCAACATGTCCAATACAGGTCTCTCATTGTAAAGCGTTTGACACGGCTTGTCTTCCCAGTGCGACTGCATCAAGGTTGTAGCCAGATACGACATGCGCTGAGGATTCAACAGAGAAACCCCGAGATAATCTTCTATCTTCCATCCATTATAACAGTACAGTACCCCAGAGCCTTAGTTCCGAGGGAGACGGTTACTAGTATTCTTCTTGTCTTATGGAATGTTCGGTCAATATGAACTCCGAGGCTTAACTCAGGGAGGTCTTTTTGCCGGGCGAACTTTCATTCAATCGTCAAATTATAGCAGCATCTTATTTAAAGCTGGGAGTATATCACTGAATCTAAGAGCCGCAGTTCTTTCTTCACATGGTCGCATTAACTCTTGTAATCGCATCGCTCCTCATGAGCTCTCTGCTTTATCGATGGTTCAGACGTCCGTCAGTCAAGCACGTCAAGGGACCACCGTCAGCCTCTTTCTGGCTAGGTAAACGATCATACTTTGGTACAAACATGAGCTCATACACGACACCCATCAGGCCACGAACGCGTTCTCCGCAATCAAGATGATGCTGGTGATCTCGAAACGAAATGGCATAGGGAATATGGCACACTTTATCGTGTTGGGGGCTGTTTTGGGGTAATTAAGCTTTCTATCTCTCGTGGTCAGTTAACTCAACGGTTTCCCAGCAAGACGTCCTGGTAGTGTGCGACCCCAAGGCTTTCGAACATATTTTCCACAAGTCACGACCTTATCCAAAATCGAAGGACATCACCTTCATCCAGGGTCTCCTCCTTGGTCAGGGGCTTGTCACTGTCGCTAGTGAGTGTCCATCCTGTCCAGTTTGCACACAAACACACCTAACATATTCAGATGAAACTCACCACCGCCAACGCAAAATCCTGAATGCTGCATTCTCTCTTACGCAGCTCCGAAAATACGAGGTTATCTTTCAGCAATGCTCTGACAAGGTAGGTGCATCTGTACACCATGAAGCGCGACAACGTTCGGAAGCTTATAGCGATTATAGCTTGTGAACGAGATCAGGAGAACTGTGACTGGTACAGATAAAATCGTCAATGTCCTTGATTGGACAAGCAAGGCGACCCTGGACATAGTTGGGCTAGGTGAGTGCCGGCCATTCCTCTCCCCCTCTCTCATTTAATATGAGATTCGAAAGCCTCTTTCCGGTATGATTTTGGTTCGCTCGATGGTCAAACAACGGAACTAGGGCGAACAATGAAGCATCTTTTGTAAGATCTGTTTCTTTATTTCAATGGCTACTGCATCTAACATCGGACTTTAGCACTGCCTCGCAATCCAATATAACGGCACTAGAGCTTATGCTTATAGCTCTGATACGAATGCTTCCAGATTGGGTCCTAGGATTCCTACAGCTGATCTCTACTCGAGAGACTCGTTTAATCGTCAGCGTAGGAAATGCCGCCAAGCAAACTGCCCGAGAGATCATGGATAGCCTGGATAACAAGGCGCAGACGCCAGGCGATGACAAAGACGTCGTTAATCTCCTAGGTAAGTCTACTGGTCCTATCTGATAACACGCCTATGAACATGACTACATCTCTAGCGAGAGCTCACACAGCAGGAAAATGCAAGATGACGAAATCGAGGCGCAGCTAATGTTCGTGTCATATTTCTACTTACCCTTCTTGATGGCAACCTTTTGTGTTCCAGGACCTTCGTCATTGCCGGGCACGAGACGTCGAGTACTAGTCTAGCCTGGCTGCTATACGAACTCGCCGTGCATCCTAAGCATCAGTCCATAATTCGCGCAGAGCTCATACAGTCAAACGACTACGACTCGATGCCATTCTTGAACGCAGCTATCAAAGTGAGACTAGTAGCTACGTCGAATACCCATGTTGACCTCTCGTAACAGGAGGCTCTCCGTCTACACCCAATTGTACATTCCTTGATACGTACCGCTCCTCATGATGATGTCCTCCCTCTTTCAGGAGGTAAAACGCTTGCCATACCCAAGGGGCAGACTCTCGTTTGCTCCGCTTACCTATACAACCGGTACGATCTCCCCCACATCACTTCAATGTAAATTTGATGCCAAAATTTTCTAGTCTGCCGTCTCTCTGGGGAGACGACGCGGAAGAGTGGAACCCCGGCCGGTTTCTTGACAAGACTCTGCCGGTCTCGCTTGGTGTGTACGCTAATCTGTGAGTGAGATCTTGACTTTGTGCGTGCTCTTAGGAGGACTTAGGCGGGATGCTATAGGATGTCATTTAGTGAGCCGTGCTTCAGTACTTTTTTTTCATTCGCTTACATGACCCTCAGGTGCTGGATCTCGTTCGTGTATCGGGTAATTAACTGCAGCGACTCATCTGGTTCCATTACTGATGCTCTTCCTTCTCTCGTAGGTGGAGATTTGCGTATGTACCTCATCGTTCCAGTCTCGCTTCGATCCAACTGATCTACAAAATGCAGCGTCATGGAAATTCAAACAGTTCTAGCTAACCTGATTCTGCACTTCGAATTCAGTTTGCCCGAGGGAGGAGTCGAGGTCCTACATTTTCCCGGAACAGGGGTCGTACCCTTTGTGAAGGGGAAAGCACATTTAGGCTCTCAG